ACACACACACACACACACACACACACACACACACACACACACACACAGGGGGTTGACCCCAGGGCCTTGCACATGTAAGGCAAGTGTTCTCTACCACTGAGCTACACCCTCAGTCCAACATTTTCTATGAAGCTAAAAAATGTTTTTAGACAAAACCTTGACTAGGAATATGTGTTCATAATTGTTTGTTATGAAACAAATGAAAGTAACAAGAAGCTGGGCAGTGGTGGGCACGCCTTTAATCCCAGCACTTGGGAGGCAGAGGCAGATGGATTTCTGAGTTCGAGGCTAGCCTGGTCTACAGAGTGAGTTCCAGGACAGCCAAGGCTACACAGAGAAACCCTGTCTCGAAAAAAACAAACAAACAGAGTAACAAGAAATGTTATGCAAGCACCAAAGATAACAATGTAATGAATCAAGAATTGTGTTAATCTACTTGTATATGTCTTAAGTCCCAGTTAGAAACAAAACAAACCCAAGGAAGCCTGAGAGCATGAAATACTCAGTTTCAAGCCAAACTTTGCCACAGACTCTGTGACCAGATTTTTATGAATGAAAATGCTGTCTGTAGATGAAATTCAGGCTCAACACCAATCTTCTCCATCCTCTAACACTTTGTAAACTCACCATGAGAAAATGATTTGTTGGCCTTTTATATAATTGCTCTGGTCAAAATGTGTTTGTAAAAGGAAAGAACAGAAGTCAATCTTTACCAAAAAACAAGGAGGCTTTTAGGAGATACAAGTTCAGTATCAGTGCAAGGTCACATGGGGGAAGTTAAGTTAGGACTGATTTCATACTGTAATTGAAAGTGAGTTTCAGAGACTAGGGACTGGCCTGGTGTACAGTGCTTGTCTAGTACGGACTGGGTTCCAACCTCACAGAGCACAGCAAGAAGACAGTCTAGACTAGAGACAGAACAGAAACCACAAAGGAATGGACAGGAGAATCTAAGAACATGAAAACCGAGAGCTCTGTCAGTCATACTTCAATGAAATAGCTTAAAGGAACACTGAAGACAAAGGAGAAAGACCACAGGAATCTGGGAAATGTAACAAGTAACTGTTACAGAGAAAGCTTTGTGAGAATGGCAGGAAGAGAAGACAGAACAATCCAAAAGAAAGCCAACCCGTGCTGTTTAAGTGATAAGACAATATATGGCAGACAAACCTGCCTAATCACAAAATGTTTCTAGATGAAACTCACAAATTTGACAGGAATTAAAGACTGATAATGTCTGGAACAGGAAAAGGTGTTGGAAAATAAGCAATTTCAAATGTCATCAGTTAACAGATTCTGCAGAGCTTTTAAAACCAAGGCAATTGGAAGGCAAGTTGCTTAGAGACAAATACTGGCACAGATATAGAGTAAAGAGAATCTTTGCACAATCACTGGGAAAGTAAACCAGTACAGTCATAGAAAAGTCAACTCCTAAGAACCTTCCAAACAGAACCATTGCGTGATCCAGGAAACACACTACTGCGTTATTGAAAAAGGAACAGAGAGCCTGGCAGTGATGGCACATGACCTTAATCCCCACCCAGGAGGCAGAGGCAGATGATCTCTGAGTTCAAGGCCAGCCTAGTCTACAGAGTGAGGACCTATCTCGAAAATGGTGCGATCCTGTCTCTGCTCTCCCATGTTTACTCCCCTGTTACTCACAACACTGAAGAAATGCACATGAGACTGGACAAACGTCTCAGCAGTTACGCTGCTCTTCCTTAGGACCCAGGACTCCCATTCCCCATGACACGCTTGCCAAAATGTTATTATTTTTATACTAAGAATTTCTTACGGGGCTGGAGAGATGGCTCAGTGGTTAAGAGCACTGACTGCACTTCCAGAGGTCCTGAGTTCAAATCCCAGCAACCATATGGTGGCTCACCACCATCTGTAATGAGATCTGATGCCCTCTTCTGGTGTGTCCGAAGACAACAACAGTGTATTCATATATAATAAATAAATAAATCTTTTTTAAAAAAAAGAATTTCTTACAAATTGTCACTAACAAAAGCCAATATTTAAAATTCCAAAAATTGACAAAAAACCTAATTGCCAAAAATAAAACCAGATTTGCCTTAATGGATGTCCACAAAAAGAATGCTCCCTGTAAATGTGTGGGGATTGGGATATATACAGGAAGGGCTGGAGAGAGAAAAGGGAAAGGGGAAAATTAGGTCATCTATATTTTAATTTTTAAGTGATTAATTAAAAATTAGAAAAGAAAAAAAGTCTGTGGAACTACCACATGCCTTTAACAGCTGTACAATGCACAAATGGTGCTGCTATAAATTCGCATTTTCTCAATTATCCAATGGCTTCATGTGCATTCCCTTTAATTCCCTTTAGCTTACTAACACTACTGTGGAGGATCCACCCTATATAACTGAAGACATGGACACAAGAAATACAAAGTAGGTCTTTTAAGTTCTTCTTCTTCTTCTTCTTCTTCTTCTTCTTCTTCTTCTTCTTCTTCTTTTTGGGTGGTGGGAGTTAGGAGGTTGAGACCGAGTCTCACTATGTAGCCCTGGCTGTCCTGGAACTCATTCTGCAGACCAGGCTGGTCTCCAACCCAGAGCTCTGCCTGCCTCTGCCTCCCAAGTACTGGGATTAAAGGCGTGTGCCACCACTGCCCAGCTAGGATTTTTCTTATTCTTATCTCTGTATGCAATTCTAAATGGCAAATGTATCCATCAGCAAACTGTGGCATAATCACATCAATCAGGCAACTGTGAAGAAGGTAAGGTAGATTCATCACGGTACCTCATAATGTAAAACAGGCGAGATGAAGGGAGAACGTTCTGATGAGGCAGCTGGTGGGAGCCTTACAAAATAAGACAAACGTGGGGGTGCATAAACTTGTAATCCTTGCTACTTGGAAGGCTGAGGCAGG